ACGTCTCCAGTACCTGCCTAAATGGAACGCGGGGCGCCACTCCTCGGTGAAACAGCTTATCCCGGTCGCGCTCATAAGCGTTGGTTGTTCAACAAACCAGCCTCCAACATCAACATTGTTCCATCACCAGACTGCATCGTATTCCCATCGCTGCAGTTATGGCTCCTTCTACTCTGAGGAGCCTCCTGCTGGGAGCTGTGGCTCTTTGGCCTGGTTTGGCCATGGCTTCCCAGAACTCAACTTACTCTCAGGCCGATCAACTACGGGCACAGCTAGCTCTCATGGGTGATCGCCCAGATGGGTGTCCTCCCTGGTGCGTCAATGCGATTCCGAATCCCACGAACTTGAATTGCCCATACTGATATCTATATAGCTTTAACTGTCTCCTTCCTGCACACACATGTGCTCAATACGCTGGTTGTAACGAGTACAACGGAAAATGCGCCTGTCCTGAGGGATTTGGCGGTGATGACTGCCTCGAGCCACGTGCGACCTCCTCTCGTTAATATCAGATGAAACTCGACTGACTATCCTCTTAGTGTGCGGCTCACTTCCCAAGGGAAAGGACCGCCCAATGCGATCTGGTGCATCATGCAATTGCGACGAGGGCTGGACTGGCATCAATTGCAACGTCTGTACCGACAATAAAGCCTGCAACGCACTCATGGAAACCGGCGACGGCGGTGTCTGTTACCAGAATGGCGAGGTTGTGAACCACAACTATCAGATCTGCGATGTCACCAACGAGAAGATCACGTCTTTACTCGGCAAGCAGCGCCCAGAAGTCACATTCACCTGTAAACAAGAGGATCAGACTTGCGATTTCCAATGTTTGTTCAACCCATCCTTATTTGCGCATGTTGCTAACCTTGATGCGAAGTTTGGGTAGATGCTATCGAATCCTTCTACTGCCATCTCTCCGAATGCGATTCGAGCGCCGATTGGGAGGAAGAGAAGAACACCACTTCCTACAAATGCAACAAGATTAGCTGTAGCTGTATTCCTGATCGAATGCTTTGCGGAAAAGATGGATCCATCGATCTCACAGATTTCCTTGACCAATCTATTCAAGGTCCAGGACGATTCGAATGTACTCAGAAGCATGGCGGTACTCACGACTGCGCTTTCAGAGAACCCGAGATGGACGCCTTGATTCTAGCCCTGATTGGCGATTCCAGCATTCTTCTAAGCTGCCACGCTGGCGAATGTCTCTACGAGACAGAGGTTCCAGGATATAAGCGACCCGTAAAGAAGATCAACACGCCTCTTATTGCCGGTGTGATTGCAGGCTGCTCTCTCTTCTTGGTTGCTGTTATTATCTTGACATGGTATCTGTCAAGGCGCAAGTTGAGCTATGGGGCTATCCGTTTGGAGGACTCAGATGACGAGAGCACGAAACTGATGACTGACCACAAACCCGCCTCACTCTACTTTGATGATGTTGCGTACACTTTGAATGGTAAACAGATTCTTACTGGAATCCGTGGTATCTGCAAACCTGGAGAGGTCACTGCAATCATGGGTGCGTCCGGAGCAGGAAAGACAACATTCCTCGATATTCTTGCACGAAAGAACAAGCGCGGACAAGTTCATGGCAACTTTTATGTCAACGGCGAGAAGGTCAACGATAATGATTACAAGAATGTTGTTGGATTTGTTGATCAAGAGGACACCATGCTCCCTACCCTTACCGTTCACGAGACCATTCTCAACAGTGCTCTACTTCGACTTCCTCGCGACATGGGCCGTGCTGCCAAAGAACAGCGTGTGGTTGAGGTTGAAAAGGAACTCGGCATTCATCACATTCGCGACTCTCTGATCGGTTCTGAAGAGGGCAAGGGGCGTGGTATTTCGGGCGGCGAGAAGCGACGCGTAGGAATTGCTTGCGAACTGGTCACCAGCCCTTCGATTCTGTTCCTTGATGAACCGACCAGTGGCCTCGATGCCTACAATGCGTACAACGTGATTGAGTGCCTCGTCACTCTGGCTAAGACATACAAACGAACTGTCATTTTCACAATTCACCAACCCCGATCCAACATTGTGGCACTCTTTGACAGACTCGTGCTGTTGGCACAGGGTCGTACCGTTTACTCTGGTCCTTTCAATCAATGTCAGAGTTATTTCGACGGAATCGGCTATGAATGCCCCCCTGGTTTCAATATTGCTGATTATCTTGTCGACCTTACCATGCATGCCGGTAGCACTCAATCCATTGATAATGGTACTGTTGGCCTTGACAATAACAGTGTTGGTCCCAGCAGCACCCGTGCTATCAAGTCTGTGGCGAGCATATCAGGTACTACTTCGGGAGACGACGACGCCAGCTCCAGCCGGCCTCAGAATCGTCGTAGAGACTCGGTCAAGGTTCGCCAGGATCGCGAGCTCTTCACCCGCAGAAAGACGGTCGACACTGCAGCCTCCTCAGATGCTGGAGGTGAAGACAACGGTGCCTACCGCCTTCATCAGAACCCCGTCGACTCTACTACCGCAACCCTCTTCGAAGACCCTCACGACTTGCCTCCAGCAGCAGCCACGGGTACAGACCTCGACATTATGACACGTGCATTCATACACTCGGAAATAGCTTGCTCAACACAAGATGAGATCCAGCGAGCCATTTACATTGCGCAAGATGCCAATGGCTCCAACGCAAACGGCTACACTGCCGAGGGACCGAATGTTCATGTCAGTGCTGTTGGAAAGGGTTATGCTCGTGTTGGCTACTTGCGTCAGTTCATCATTCTGTCTGAGAGGACTTGGAAGAACCTGTATAGAAACCCGATGTTGATGCTTACCCATTTCGCGATCGCCATCGTGCTCGCCGTTTTTTCAGGATATCTCTTCTATGGTCTCACCGACGACATCCCTGGCTTCCAGAACCGACTTGGCCTGTTCTTCTTCCTGCTTGCCTTGTTCGGTTTCAGCACACTCACAAGTCTTAACGTATTCGCCACTGAACGACTTCTTTTTGTTCGCGAACGTGCCAACGGTTACTATGCGCCAGCCACTTATTTTGCGGCCAAGGTACTGTTCGACATAATCCCTCTTCGAATCGTTCCCCCTATTCTCATGGGTTCCATAATCTATCCTATGACCGGCTTGGTGGCTGATTCAACGCATTTCTTCAACTTTATCTTGGTCCTGGTGCTCTTCAACATGGCTGCTGCGGCTGTTTGTCTCTTTATTGGAATTGTCTGCAAAGATGGCGGTGTTGCGAACTTGATTGGCAGCTTGGTCATGCTTTTCAGTCTGCTTTTCGCTGGCTTCCTCCTAAACCACGATGCTACTCCAAAGGGTGCTCTTTGGCTCCAGACGCTGTCGATTTTCCACTACGGATTTGAGTCGCTTATTGTCAACGAGGTTCTTCAACTTACCCTCGTCGACAGCAAGTACGGTCTGGATATCACAGTGCCTGGCGCAGCCATCCTCAGCTCCTTTGGATTCAACAATAATGCCATGTGGCCCGACATTAGGAACTTGGGTATTTTTGCTGCCGTCTTTATCATCTTGTCTTACGCCGCTATGCATTTCTTGCTCGTCGAAAGACGATAAATCAGCATAGAGAGATTGGCCATCGTGTATGGCTTCAGAGTTAAGAGGAACGATGCAGGTGTCATTGCTTGCAGTGATAATATACATAAGAAGTATGTCAGGCATACGTGTGTCATACTGGGCGTTTGGATGGGGGCACGTTCTCGTTCTTTCATAGGTTATTGTATCAAGTCTCACAATATATATGTAGAATAGCATTTTTAAGAACACTTTGAACTCATACATGAGTCCATGGCAGACCGCTTGAAGACGTGATATTTGTCATAGGTAGTTACAGTAATACATGAATACAAGTTGTTTTTACAAGCCAAAGGGCATGATCTACTCCATTTTTCCACCAGTGAACTCCTCGGCAATTCTCTTCTGTCGCTTGACGGAGCGGTCGTACTCCGTTTCGTAAAAGTCCATAATCTTGGTGGATACCCCTGTTGTGGTTTCCAACATGTTGCCGATTGATGTTGGCTTGCCCCAGACGTCCCATGTGTTCTGGGCGGAACCGTATCGACCGATATCGAATCCTTGCTTGTGGAAGAAGTCCTCGGCAAATATGGTCTCAATCTCCTCCTTGAGCTCACTCTCAGTGACAATGAAGTTGGAGGCATTGATGTAGAGCTCCATCAACGCATCACGGCGAGCCTCGCGCTTAGCTCCCTCCATGGCCTTGACCTTGATGCGGCTCCTATCGGCACGAATGTAGCGTTGAGGGTCAGGATATGTCTTGGTGTCCAAGATTGCGTCCAACACTGTGCTGCGGGTGAGGCGATCGTCCTCTCGCTCGGGGGCCTTGACAGCCCGGTGGTTCTCAAGAAACTTGTGGCTCACACGCTCGTTCTGAACAGCATCACGACGGTTCCTTCGTACCCAAAGTTCCTTCAAACCAGTTTCCAGGTTCTGTCGACGGGAGTTGGCCATTGTTTGCTTCCATTCCTGTGTCTCGTTCTTGGGTTTTTGCTTGTGGGCCGGCTTAGGAACGGTTTGCTTGATATAATCGGCTCGAATCTTGCGGTCACCCTCCACACGAGGGAAAATCTCTCGAGGTACGGGGAGGTGACCTCTGACTCGGGGAAGTTTCTTCTCTTCGGACTGGGGTGGTGTAGGCAAGCGGATATATGAGGGGGACTCGGGAGGGACTTGTTCGAGAGCAGGAGCCGAAGTGGAAAAGGCTCTTGAGGCCACGAGGAACTGACGAGCAGCCGCCCTCGGGCACGAAGTTGTGAGGCTGAAAGACATTTTGAGAAGAGCCTCGGCCAGATTGAGCACTGCGGGGCTCAAGTTGGATCGCAATTGACGTCGTATCCCGTCGTCAAATCGGCTTCTGGAGAGTCAATCGCCAGACTGAGAAAATCGACGTCGGATCAAATTTGCGGATTATCTGGTTCCGCGTGCAAGACCCCTGGCATTTTACGCCCCGCCACCAACCACCGCGGGAAGTTAGTGGGGCTCTTCTCCTACTAAGAAAAAAAAGTTCTGGAGGAATAAATTTCTGGATTGTTCATCTTCTTCTTCTCTCTTTGTCTTCCTTTGTCGCCAGTATCCTCGACCAACTTCCGCCAAATTTTTCGCCATGGGTACTGGAAAGAAGGAGGCCACCCGGCGTGAGCGCCAGGGTAAAGGTGGTGATGGTCTCAACAATGTCAGAACCAAAGGAGAGAACTTCTATCGCGATGCGAAGAAGGTCAAGCACCTTAACATGTACAAGGAGGGCAAGGCGCAGAGAAACGCCGAGGGGAAAATCGTCAAGGCTGCCTCTTTTCAGTCGCGCGACATTCCTAATGCCCGAATCGAGCCGAATCGCAAGTGGTTTACCAACACTCGAGTCGTCTCCCAAGACACCCTCAACGCCTTCCGCGAGGCTATGGATGAGAAGGCCCGGGATCCCTACCAAGTTCTTCTCAAGTCAAACAAGCTGCCCATGAGCCTTATCAGAGATGGAAAGGATACCGAGAATGGTATCAAGCAGCACAAGGCCAAGATGACCGTTGAGACCTCTCCCTTCGCTGAGGTCTTCGGTCCTAAGGCGCAACGCAAGCGAGTCAAGCTTGGTGTTAGCAGCCTGGATGACCTTGCTGGTGACACCGAGAAGAGTATGGATACCTACCGTGAGCGGCTGGAACAACAGAAGCTTCTCAGTGGCACATCTGGTGATCCCGAGACTCTTGGAGACTCTGACAAGCCTCTCACCATGTCGATTGAGCCTGTTTTCGACAAGGGTCAGAGCAAACGTATCTGGAACGAGCTTTACAAGGTCATCGATTCTTCAGATGTGGTTATCCATGTTCTCGATGCTCGCGATCCCGTCGGAACAAGATGTCTCAGCGTTGAGAAGTATCTCAAGGAAGAAGCCCCTCACAAGCACTTGATCTTTGTTCTGAACAAGTGCGACTTGGTCCCTACCAGTGTAGCTGTAAGTTTTTCCTTTCTTCTCCATATCTTCATCTCCCTCCTCCTACACCCCAATGTTCTTTGTCAGGATTTGTCCCTTTATATACCATGGGACCTGTCTGTTATAACATTGGGAGAATAACCGCCAGTCTCGACTGTCGTCAACGTCTTGTTGTTCGGCTGATGTGTGCCGTTTTGGTTACCATCATGAGACAGGCCAGGTGTCCGATTGAGTTGAAGTCTGCCTATGCCATTAACCAATTACGGGGCATTGATTGCATACTTCTTAGTGATGACACAAACATCTCCCCGCCTGCAATATTTGTTCTGTATATGTTTACTCGAATGCTAATTCGATACAGGCCGGATGGGTTCGAAGTCTCTCTAAAGAGTACCCTACTCTTGCTTTCCACGCTAGCATCACAAACTCTTTCGGAAAGGGTTCCCTCATTCAATTACTTCGACAATTTTCATCCCTCCACTCTGATCGGAAACAAATCTCCGTTGGACTGATCGGTGGACCCAACACTGGAAAGTCCTCCATCATCAACACTCTACTCAAGAAGAAGGTCTGCACTGTCGCTCCTATTCCAGGAGAGACCAAGGTCTGGCAATATGTCAGTCTGATGAAGCGCATCTACTTGATCGACTGCCCTGGTATTGTTCCTCCCTCAAGCACCGATTCCCCCACCGACTTGGTCCTTCGAGGTGTCGTGCGTGTGGAGAAGGTTGAGCACCCAGAACAGTATATTCAGCCTTTGCTGAACCGGGTCAAGCAGCATCACATGGAGAAGACATACGAGCTTAAGGGATGGACAAACTCTACAGAGTTTCTTGAGCTCCTGGCCCGCAAGGCTGGTCGTCTTCTCCGTGGAGGTGAGCCTGACTTGGATGGTGTTGCAAAGATGATTCTCAATGATTTCATGCGAGGCAAGATTCCTTGGTTCACTCCTGCGCCGAAGACCGAGGGTGACGCGGACGGTAAAGTTGGAAACCGTGAAGGTAGACTCGGAGAGATGCCTCGAAAGCGAAAGCAGGAAGAGGCAGCCGAAGATGAAGATGCTTCCGCCGAGGCCCAGCTTCAACGAGAGGCTGAAGCCGCTGAGAAGGCCGAGCAGGAGAGTCCTGATGGTTCCGATGAAGAGTCAGAGTTCGAGGGCTTCGGCAGTGACACTGAGGAAGCACGGTCAAGAAAGCCTTCGTTTGGTGCTACTGTGGATGGTGAAGATAGTGATGATGAGAGCGCCGACGATGATGTGATATCTATAGGTGGCTCTGAAGTCGAGGATGAAGAAAAAGAGGAAGAGGCGCCTGCACCTGCACCTCCAGCTAAGAAGAGTAAAGGAAAGAAGACAAAAGGCGGTCCTCCAAACAAGAAAAGGAGGACATGATCGACCTGGAGTCGATTAAGTTATAATAGTCTTTATCTTCATTCGAGGTACCTGCTTGCGCATCCTCAACCAAAACCTTAATGATACCCACGTTAATACTTGCATACCTTGAATTTTCCTCTTCAAGTGCCATGACACATCTTTCTCAATTCAGATAAGCGGAATGGCTGTTGACTTTGTCTCTTAATGCGGGTGAGTGATGTCTTCTGTCTCTAGCTTAGGGTAACTTTAAGTGATTGCCATGAATTGATTATAATACCACCCATTGAAATGAGAACAAGTTAAGCAGTAGACCAATGCCAGTTACATAACTTATGACCAAGACTATTAGTGTAGTTTTTATTTTATTTATATCTGCCACCTATTTAAACACTTCGCCATACAATAACAGACACCAGTATTGGATAATTAAAAAATCAGTAAGCAAGATGGAATAGAGTGAGAAGACAAAAAGAATGCCTCCACACAGGATTGAACTATGGACCTTTGCATTACAAGTGCAACGCTCTACCACTGAGCTATAAAGGCGTCTTGATAACTAAACATCTGTAATTGGACTACAAGACGCTGGCATGCAAGGAGAGTTTAATACTGGCAAAAGGGCAAAAGAATTGCCCCCGCACAGGATTGAACTATGGACCTTTGCATTACAAGTGCAACGCTCTACCACTGAGCTACAAGGGCACTTAGTAATCAAATTGCTTAAATTAGAATCTATTCACAGATCTCCTATGGTTCCAGATTTCTATACACACCTCCTTGTTTCTGGTTTGCGTCTCCTATAACAACTACAAAGTAATTATGTTAATAAGTATATCTTATTTTTATATTACATAAATAATAAGACAAGATATAATATACCCAAGAAATGAATTTTATAAATTAGTCAATCTTGTAATAAGTATCAGCATATAGACTCTGTTGCTTTTCCGCCGTGAAAAGAGGAACTAATATTGTAAGTCCGAAATATGACATTGGAGATCTCTCATAGATGCTGCTTTCTCAGCCCTGTAGTGCTGATCAGTGTTGATGATGTTGTATGTAGATACTTATAGGCCTATCCTTCAGACTCCAGATATATACCGATAAATAGTATAAAGACAATACTCCCTTTTGTGGGACAGAAACATGGCAACGATGAACACTGTACCGTGTACTCCGCTTCATTCTGACTCGGCGTTCAGAAATATTTTCAACAGTGGAACAGACTTCTAAAAACCAGAAAGCCTACTGAAGGTATGGCATAAAGGTGTTGGTTCAAGCTTGGTTCGGTATGTGGACCTGACCAAAGGCAATTCTTTATAGCTCTGGTATGTTTGTATTCATTCAACTTCACTTGACCTACGCGTATTCATTGCATTATCGCACCTTCTGCCCGAGAACATCGCCAAGTATACTCCATGCTTCCTCGACATCCTGTGGTATATCGACATGTACGATAGAGCCTTTGCCTCGTGGCCCGTATCCGTTCTCATCGTCTCTCATTCGTGGAATTTCGCCAATAAGAAGAGACAGGAGTCTTTTCATACTCCAAAGACCATCGATCTGGCTGTTGTCCCACTCTGCAATGTCATACCGCAAGTAAGAAGTGAGGCCGCCCGCTTGATGTTGAGTTATAGAGTCTTGAGCCGCCACCCTGGGCACGAAAGTTGGCCAGCCCGTAAGTGTAGGAGTGTCGTCCACCTTATCAGAGTAAACTTGCTCAAAGGCAGCAACTGTACGTCGACACATGGTGGGATCTTGAGCGACGACAATAGAATATGGTGATGTATATCCATGCTGGTCTAATACCTTCCTTGTGCATACTGCATTTAGTGCACAATTTGTTGAGGCATCTTCAATCAAGATAGTGAGTTTCTGAGTTGGGTTCTTTCCGGCGGTTATTTGGTTACCCTTTTCAACCTCAAGGTGGAAGAATTGCTCTACAATGGTCTGGAAGACCCGAGCCTCCGGTTGTCCCTGAACTTGGCCAGCAATGCTATTGTACTTCGGATGTCGAGCTACAGCATCATACAGCAATTGGGTCGAGTGCCCGATGCCACCGCAAATGACTAGAACGACTGATTTATCTCCTACGGCAGAATTAGTCATTCAGTCGATTAACAAGGTTCATCGGCTCTGCCGCCGCCATGCAAGCCTACCGGCTGTCTCTGCCAATTTCACCACCGTTGATACGACAGTCTCTACAATGGAAAGAATTGCAGAGCCGCACAAGACAACCACAGCCACAGAACTTGGGCTTGTCTCGATGTTCAGCTGCTTTTTAGCCGCCGACGAGTCGAAGAGGGCGCGGTGTAGATCTGACAGAGTGCAGACTTGCTCGCGAGCAACAAATTCCGAGATGATATTGGCAGCGTCAGCCGCTTTAGAGAAATTGAATGGGGAGATGGCCATTGTGTTTAATCGAGGATTTATTGTTCAGAGTCACACGAGACAGGTGGCTATCGCAGTAAATAATTACTGGGAGGTTTGAAGGACTTCAGCGTGGGCCAATTGATGCAGCGGAGTATCCGGAAACGGAATATCCGGTTGGGAATGGTGACGATTCGCAGCATGAATTCTCCTTACGTTCTGTCATTGAGGAAGGCTTTGATTTGTTATTCAATTTAACAATAGTCTCGTGAATGGGTTTTGTTTCGTCAATGCTCGACTTGTCGGGCATATCGTACGTGTATGAATCCCAAATTCAAGTCCGCACAAGCACACGATGTCCATTCTGAGCCCAGCCAAAAGGGGTTTTTAGAATAAGGAAGGCTTAAGAAATAGTATTAGTATTTTTAACTTTGCCTCGGGTGTTTATTTGTGTACCAGAATCGTGTTCGTAGAATAACTTGAGAGTTACTGCCTTATTTGCCTGTGTTCAGGTCACCAAGAACAATCGCTTATACCATCACATGGGAATCTTGTTTGTGGATATCGGTAATGAAAGAACTAAGAAACTATCTCTCAGGTTTTGTTTGATGAAAATATAGTGGCGAAAGAGACAGGATGCGGATTGATTCTTCGCGAAGGGACTTGAGACTGATCATTGTCTTTTCTGCTACAGAACAAGTATTGATGAAAGTTCCTTGAGCCAGGAAGTCGTTCGATTGTTCGGGTAGTCTCTCATTACAGAACGTGGTTGGCAGACATCAGCATTGTTCAGTCGATTGTAAAACTTTGAAGAAGCCTGGCTAGCCATTTAGAAACAGGAAAAAAGTTAAAGGATTCAAACAGTATTTCAGTTTTATGAATCAAAAAGGGATAGACTCCTATCATCAGTGTCGAAATACCTTAAGCACAATACCCTAATATCGACTACCTGCCCAACTGTTTAACGAACATTATTTAACTTAGGAAAGAACGGCCTACAGGAGCAACCCCGTAGTTATAATCATGGCCAAGGTAGGTATCTTACCTTACAACCTCTTTTCAACATCAGTATCTGAAACGTTTGGTTGTATCATTTGGCACAAGATACGCCCGAAAGAACAAGGTGCGCCAGAAATCACCTTTCTCTTGTGCGAAGCATACGAAGGACTGACTGAGATGAAGTCCAGTTGCGAGGCTGCTGGGCATGGATGGATGCCAGACATACAGTGGCATCCATCTATGCCTCGCAGTGGCAGCTGAAACGGCTGCCACTGCGAGGCAAGGATCTCTGCTAGTAACATCTGTCACTCAATGCATCTCCTTATAATGGAATAGCAGAATAAGGTAGGTAAACAACAATATTTCCCCACTGCGGACACATAAACCTCATCGCCCCTCTCCTGCACTCCTCTTCGTTTGTTCACCTTTCATCCTCTTGTTCTGGTTGTGGGTATCGTGTCAAGAACATCAACATCAACTTTATTTTTCTTCACCTATCACCTATCACCTATCAGCCACCACATCCCTAAAGCAGCCTCCCTCACACAAGGCAGAAGAACTCAAAATGAACGATACCTCCGCACCTGGAGAGCCGCAGGTGGTGCGCAACGGTCTGCAATCACCTCCTACCAACGCCTTGAAAGACATGGCAAGCCGCCTCGCAACCAAACCTCACGATGCCCAACCCAACTATGACATGATGTCAACTGGATCGAACCTGGTATGTATTGTACAGCGATAATTACGCCTGCGAGGAATGACACTTACGATACCTCTAGAAGACGAGGGAAAACCTGACCGATACAACTGAGGATTTGACCATCAACGGAGACAGCAATGCTTCCTAGGGTTCGTTTACCTCCATGCCTATGACTCTACCTTGCGCCGAAATTCAACGCTAACAAGTACTTACAGTAGGAGCATACAGCCCGTCCTCACAAGGTACTATTCAAGACTGCATCACTGTGGCTCCTCGTCACCCTAAGGCGCATATGGCGCGAGGGAGCTCTTCCGCTGCTCTTCGGCCAGGTGAGGACGGTCCGAAATACGATCTCACAACACTTGCGAATCCCATCCGACCAACTAGCAGACCTCATGCCCCGATGTTTAATCTAGAACAGGTTTACGACGTCTTCAACGACACCCCTTGGGGAAATCAACAAAGCGACACAGTGGGGGAGCAGAATCCCACCGAACGTCGCCGAAACAACAACAAAACTGCTCAGTCTAGAGTCTCGAAGCAGACAAAGAGAAAACCCCTTGGACCTCGAGCTGGCTCGGGAGTCTCCAAGCCCCCCCATCTGCCCAAGCAGCCCGTCACGCAACCCAAGCGATCTAAGAGTCCTCAGGGGAAGAGCCCAATCGATGTCGTTGCCAGAGGGGCCACCTCAACCCCAAGCAACCCAAGCGACCCTGCCCCTTACTATGAAGTTGCTCGCGCCCCTAATCTCAGCAGACCAATTCCCGACTTTGATCCGGCTTTGATATCTGCTTGTCCCAAGCCACTATCGCCTTCAGAGATGTTGGATGCAGACAAGTACTTCCTCTATCAGATGGCCACAGCTCGTCACCTGGCCTTCAACGGTGTTTCGGGCCCATACCAGGTTGGTCACTGCTTGTGTGACGTCCATAAGGCAACCGGGAATCTCATCAAATTTGCACGAGCCTGCACCGCTCCAAATGGCGAAAAATATTGGCGCCATCTCATGACAAATGCGTCTATTAAGGCTCAAGATGGGTCTACCCTGACAGGCAAGCCAGCAGCACTCTCAAATGGAGCCCTGATTTGGATGGCAGATGAGGAAGGGAAGGCTATAGCTCCTGAATGGACGTTCAAAGAGCCCCAATTCTTGCCTCAATCCTCGGAGGGCCAGGAAATGGGACAGCATCCAAAGCAAGCTCAGCAGGATATCAACCCAATCCATCCTGGACTCAAGACTACTAGCAAAGATCCTTTTTGGTGGTGAACGACACAAGATCGTTGCCAAGTTGCATGGATGGAGCATTGAGCGTCCCGAGAGAATGTTTGAGTGAACATCCCTGGAAATAGCCACACCCTGGTTTGGCCATGTGCGAGTCTCTTCAGTCCTTCTGGTTCATATGACGAATCACATATGGAGTACGGAGTAAAGAACTGTGTTTGGATCGGGTTGACCCGGAGGGTCTTGGTTTATACATTGACGTATGGTCGGAAACTTGTTGTTAGCTGGTCTCTGGAGTTTGATATACTCGATTTTGAGTTTTGATGAAATTCTATCTGGACAGGTTTAGTTTAGCGATTCCTAGAATTGGAAACAGAAATGTGTTTCTACCGCTACTAGGTAATAATAATGCTAATTGCCGATGAATGAGTGGTAGTTGTCGAATCAAGTGGCCATGATTGATGATTACGGAAGAATTGCGCACCGACCTCGACAGCATCATCGAAAAAAGGCCCTTCCTTACCTTAACCGACGCCACTTTTGCTCTATACTCCCCCGCCAACGCGCAATCTTTGTGTACTATCAGCTCTCTTCCTTCTCATTCTTGTTTCCATATATCAATTGCCAGATAAGATGGGTTCTTCGTCTTCAAAAGTCGCCAAAGGCGCAGCGCGAAAGTATCCCGCTCGAGCTCCTGGAGCTGCAGTCCCACAAGCAGTAGCACGTCAACCAAGGGCAGAGGCACCAAAACCAAAGTCAAAAACCCTGGGAAACAGCGCAAAAGACGAAGGTAGATGAATTGGAACTTCTTATGTCTATTGCAACCTCTAACTCATATCTGTAGCTGTTCGCGCCGATGCTATGGACCCCGATTTCCCAACCGGCGACTTCTCACGCCGTCTACACCAGATGGGAATCGCTGACTCGAACCCTACATATTCTCCCTCGTCTACAGCCGCGACCCCCCTCGGACCTTCAGCCCCCCCGGGACCTAGTTTTGCACCGAGTCGAAGCAACCCAACCCTCGTAGCGCTCTCAGCTCGAGATCGACTACAAGACGAAGCGGAGGAAGATTTCGCGAGCATGGGACGTGAGGGCCGACGATTCCTCGATATGAGGACGTTGGTGGATGCTATGAAGTTCCGCGATCGAGGTATACCAGAGAAGGAGATCGAGTCGAGATTAAGGATACAACCTGGGCTCTTGAGCAAACTTGGACAGGAGAAGACCTTTTCGCATGTGACGAGTCCGAACTGAGGACAAGACATGAATGAATAGATGGAAAGTCATCGCGATATCCGCAAGGAATGATGTGACAAGTGTATTACGATTGTACAATATCATGTTTCTTCTCGCTCAAGAAATAGCAATAAACGATACCCAAGAACATATCACCAAAGGTCTAGGTTGCCGCGACTTGTTTGCTTTTACCCAAAACCTACCTTGCATAACATGGCTCTCCCAAAGCTCTACCACGCAGCATGGCCACCATCCATGCGAAGGTCAGCACCCGTCATGAAGCTACTTGCATCGCTCAAAAGAAAGACAGCAGCACCACGATACTCTTCTGGAGTGCTTAGACGACCGAGCATATTCTCTTTGGGCCACTTCTCGCGACGATCAGGATAGTCGTTGAAGAGATTTTGAAGCATCTGGGTTAGAATGTAGCCGGGAGAGAGGGTATTGACACGGATACCGTATTCTCCCCATTCCATGGCAAGATTACGGGCGAGCTGGACAACAGCAGCTTTGGAGGGGTTATACACGCTGATAAAATGTTAGTAGCCGAACATCACGACCTGAAGTGGTACTTACGGTGCTAGCATGCCTTTGTTGGCGATAGTTGCACTCATACTGGCAATCATGAGAATACTTCCAGGCTGTTTAAGACGAATCATCTGACGAGCAGCTGCTTGGGCAGTCATGAAAGCCCCAGTAAAGTTGATGCTCATCATTCGTTCGGTCTCCTCCATCGAGTAGTCAATTGCTGGCGTTTCGTGGTTGATACCCGCAGCAGCGATGAGACCATCCAGGCGACCTGCGCCATTGGCGATATCTTCAAAAATGCGATTGAGATCTGGAACGTCTCTTACATCGACTCGATGGTAGTGAAGTGAGGTACCGAGTTCACGGGCTCGGTTAGAGACTTGCGAGAAGTTGGACTTGGGATCTTCAGCTGGTGAGGGCAATCTATCAACGGCATGGACTGTTGTAGTTAGAGTTTAGCAATTGATATAATCTCAATGGTCCTTCTCACCGGTAGCTCCGGCTTCAAGAAGAGCTTCAATCTGAACAAGACCTAAACCTCTTGCGCCTCCCGAGACGACAATGACTTTGTCTTTGAGGCTGAACTCTGGTAGAAGATGAGGCTGGCCGAGCGCCGCATTGCGCTGAGAAGGAGTGTTGTGAAATGTTCGAATAGCTACTGGGACATATCGCGTTGTTTGGTGAGGAAAAGCTTGTCTGGGGAGAGGCTGACGAGCCAGTGCTTGACGAATGGGAGAGAACTTGTTCATTGTGGAAGCTTATGAGGCTGGCGATACCACGGATGCTTACAGCTAATCTAAGATATACTACGTTCAACGGCAGCTTTGGGTGCTTTTGTACCAAAGTCAATAGCAGCCATTACATGCCATGGTCATGGCCATGAGGGGAATGCTCAGCATGGATAGATTCGAGATGTATCAGTGGCGGTTCTTGGTCACCTTTACCACACCCCGAAGAAGATGTCACGAGGGATCTTCATGGCCCAGAATGGACATCATCATCAATTCAGACATTGTTGAGGGTGTGTATGAAGAGAATGTGCCCCAGTCGACAGGCCAAGCTTTCCAATCCCCCGAGCCACTAGGACGTTATTGATGATCCCGGTGAGGCTCGGGTTTCCTTGCAGAGTTAAATCAGGTCCTGGCCGAGCGAGGATCGCCGTCAGCCATTTGACTCCCCAAGTCACCTCCTTGGCTTACACTGATCTCCAGCTGTAGGTTAAGCTCGGGGTGTAAGTTTGATGAGTATTTACTGTGGCATGGATATTGGCTGTCCTATGGCTCCAAAATAAAGTCAGAGAGATATCAACGCCGAGGATGCAAGTTACAGCATTTTAGGTGATGGTTGCGTTACGTGGGGAATCGGGCGGAGTCACCTCCGGATCTACACCCCGCCCCCAGCTTTTGAGCTTCTCCCTGAGAGCTCCAGCTGCATCTCAGCTCTCGAACTCAATTCGTCCTCCCGCAGTAGCTTTGGATCTGCCGTGAATTGGAATGTCAATTTTGATGATGGTGGTGGTGCGTTGGTTTGCTACGGCGGAGATGATCTTTTGTTGGTATTCTACTGTTGATGCATGGCCTTTCAGCTCTAGTTGTTGAATAAAGGAGAGTCAATCCGAGGCCTTGTACCGTCCAAATCGCCTGACTATGCGCTGGTTCTACGGCCAGCCTCTATATGGATACCAGTACTACACCACGTCACGCGGTATCGATGAAAAGAGAAATCCCGTAGAACGAGGCCCTCTTCGTTTCGCTTCCTCGGTGTGGATTACGCCGAGACAGCTATCACTAATATGATTTGCTTTGCTCAAAAATAGACTTACACAAGGTTCATCAGTTTGTGACGAATATCTTGGCTATTCCATCATCGATGATACATAACGTGGATACATATAGAAACACAACTGACTTATCATTATTATCTCTGATCAACAGCTGCAAATCCAATTGAGATCTCGGTCCCGGTGCACGCTCAGTTGAATTCTTAAACATGCTGGAACCGACATGGGCAGTATTGAGGATCAGTGGTTGGGGATGTGATGAGTTTGACAAGGGCCTTGCAACTAATTGGAGTCATTTCCCCATGTTTCTGTCGAAATCTATCACAGATACTCTTGCTTGTCCAAGATAGCGTCAACGTTTCTTGCGTGGACCAATATTTACATGCCATAAAGCTGGACTTTGGAGGAGTATATGATGGAAAGCGAGTGGGATAGAACGCTCTCGCATGCTGATTCTATCAATCAATACAAATTCTGTTACTATAACTACCGAAAAGAGCTTCTTACATTGGAAACAAGGCGTTGTGGACAATGCTCGGAACACCAGACTGCATTACTGCTTTATTGCCTAATATGGTAATCCGGAATCTTCACGATGCGATTACAAACATGAGACCCCGACTTGGATCACAAGTCCCCAATATTATACAAAGAGTCTAGAAGCATCTGACTGCTTGAATTTGAAGTGGCCGTCATGCATAAAGGTTACCCTACACTGAATTTGTCGTACACGTAAGCCACAGAATCCTGCAATGGCCCATCATGACTCCCAAGCGCAGTATCCTAGAGCTCTAAAGCCAGTTGACCTGCATCTAGATGTATTCCTGAGGAAGTCCAAATTGATTCTGATATTGGGTTTTCACTAGACTTTGCATCAGGGTAACTCACCTGTGAACGACCGCCTGTTCTGGTAGAGACCCCAATATTCTACCTACCAATGCGCACCCTGATAGATGGCTGGAGAACGAGGGCTATCTGTGAATTAATGCACTTTGTATTATTAAGAAGTGAGAACACTCGAGGCCTAGGTACGGTAAGCTTTTAAAGTAGTACATGGATCGTCAACGAAGCAAAGGAGTGACCGGTATCTAAATTATCATGAGAACTGCCAACAATCTGTGTTAAATCGAAAAATCAAGAGGATGCATTAACGCCTTTTTCCAAACCTCCAAACATGGCAGTATGCCGCTTTCGTTTCGCTTCGGTTCGCGTGTCCTCTGTGACGACCTCCAATGAGGCCTTCGTCAGCCGTCAACAAAAAGCTCAAAAACAGAAACACATGAACGAGATACGCTCTAACCACATGTATGACTCCCGAGCCCTTTAGCCTTTTGAAGTTGCCTTGTACCAGTCTTATGCCTTGTTTCATTTCCACCGCAGATGTGTTTGTGGTCTTCTAAGCACTGTCGATCCACTGGTAAACAGTAACCAACGTGGTATAGACCATGGCGATGAAGCCAACTACCATGACAACAATGTCGATAACCTTGGCCCTGGTTGTCTGAGCAGCTCCCTTGTAGTGCAAGTAGGCTGGGTAGATGTAGACTAAGGGAACACAGGCAAAGCTGCCAATCAATGCCACAAACTTATCCAAGTCACTGGCACCGATAATGCTGATACCCACACATACGCCAACAAGAAGGGTTCTGAGAGCATTCTTCTTCCACTTGATCGCGGCACTCTTCTTGCCAGTTGCACGCTCACCAAAAACCGAGGTCTCGATAATACGAGCAGCTGGGAAAAGCTGGACAGGGTCTCCGGCGAGAACGGCAATCGAATACAAGAACTGGACTGCGTTGACAAGAGGAGAATCCTGGGGAAAGTTGGATATGACCTGAATCTTGGTATCCTCACCAAAAGTCGCATAGCAGAGTGCTCCCACGGAGGTGAAGATGATCGTGATGATAAACATGACCAAGTAGAGGAGGTTAGGGAAGTGTTCGGGTCGCTTCATGCTTGACTGGATGGGCAAAATAAGTCCAATTCCTTCAAAAGTGAAGATACCTGAGCCAATGGTCAAAGTGAAATCCCTTGGGTTGAACAGCTTCACAGTTGAGTCCATGCCGCGCTGAGAAAGGGCCGCTATGTCGTAGTACCAGATGTAAACAATTCCAATCAAGATAAAGACATCAGCAAGAAGGGCGGCGGGTCCAAGTTTTGAGATGTTTCGGATCAGCGCAAGAGGAACAAGGGCGACCAACTGCAAAGCAATCAGACTGGGCACGTTGAACATGAACTCGCGGTGGTTGGCGGTCACGGCATCAAGAAATGCATAGAGGTTCTCAGCTGTAAAGATGAGACCAGCGCAGACAAATCCAAGCTGAGAAATAGCAATCGAAGCGAGGACCAGACTTCTAAACCGAGGGCCAACAATGGCTTCACCCAGTTCTCCATAACCGCCTCCGTAAATCTGACGACAGTCAAGAAGAAGACGGAAACATCCGCAGTTGACAAGAGACAGTACAATGAGGGTGATTGACGAGAAGAGGATGCCACCATTGCGGAACGCCTTAGGCAAGAACATAATTCCAGTTCCGATGAAAGCCTTGATGAGTGTGAAGAATGTCTTTGTGGTTGTAGCGTCGCCCGTCTTGCGCATTCGTTTAGAACTTCGTCTTCTGCCAAGGAGAGGTCGAAGCTCAGGCGGCTGTTCCACATCGCCGTCTTCTCGATCGTCAATGGCAGACTCGTCTTCGCTGTCGGCATCTTCAAGATCTTCGCCGGCAAAGCTTCCATATAGGTCGAGGAAATCGACAAAGTTCTTGGCAACAATGGTGTAGCCGCTCATGCGTCTCTGTCGGGCACGTCGCTGGAGGTGATACCGTCGAAAGCCGCCGGGCTCCCGCTGTTCGGAGTGGCTCAATTCGTCTTCGGCAGCGAGGGGAGGAGGTGTATGATGGGAGAAGGTGGCAGCGCGGCGGAGGGAATTGGCTCGAGCCTTGATCTTGAACATGTCGCGATGCATGTCGCCACCTTGTAAAAGGAGCGAAGATTCGACAGGATCTCCTGAGGCGTCATTGTTGTCATTGCTGGCAGAGCCCGAAGCGGAAGGGTTGGCTGGACCAAAGGCAACGTCGGGCTCGGCCGAGTAGCCATCTGGGAGATGTCTGTCGAGGATGGCAGCTTTTCGCTTGCCCGTCTCGCTGCCCAAGCTACTGGGTGTTCCGTCGAAATTGGCGAACTCGGCCATAATCGTGGGTTATCAAGACGAGTTTTACAGTCGTGACGTAGTTCCTGCAGTGCTTTACGGTGGTGCTGCAGAATAGAAAGGAAAACAGTAGATGGCAGGAGACGGAGTCTTAAAACGATCAATCACGAGTAGTCTTCAGCTGTGTTAGCCGTCACTGCAAGCGTCAACAGACATCCGCTGGCGATGAGAAAGGAAATTGTATAATTGCAGGGAAAACATTGAAGACTGCGAACGATGCATCGCCTCTGGGTTGGGTCGTTCGGTTGTTGTATGACAATCGGGGTCGGTGAATGTCTCTCCCGGTGGGCCTAGCTCCTTGAGGCTTGGGTCAGTGGGGTCCACGATCCACGTGTATCGAGAACACGCAAGTACTCGATACATTTTCAGCCCCATCTCACAACGACGAAATGCCGTGGTGTTCTATGAGACAAAGTAAAAGCTACCTGCGTGGAACGCTTTTGGGGGTACCTTGATGCAACCAACTGAACACCATGCTCGGCATTCATCCTTCCTGATTTGACATCACCGAAACTTCTAGAGAATACCAAGACTGAAGCCTCCAATTTCTTCGTCACCAGAGAATGACAATGTGCAAAATTGACGCCAAGAACTGTACCAGTGAAGCATTGCAGCGTCCCAAGGTTACACCGAGAATACACGTATGTGTTCACCTTGGTAACATGTTTTCTTATTGTTGTCCAGTTTGAGTTAATAAAGTGATGGTTGTGTCACTCAATTCATCAAGCAACAGAAGTTTATGGATATTGCCGACCTGAAAGGTTTGACATCGATGAGGACCGGATGCCCTGAATAGCTTGAGGCAAAGCACAGTCTTTGAAGAATTAGACAGTCATGCGGTTCTAATGTTCTACCCTGATCAAAGCTTGCAAGCTGTGAGGGCGAATCGGACAGCTAAGGCCAGCGCCTACGGGTTAACCGAAGAAAAGCCGGCTCAGTATGGCAAATTTTCTCCTCAGGCACGCAGTGCTAAACCCAATACGCTTGACGCGCCTGTCCTTTCGCAGCCACTAGAAAGCTCACTCATCAACGTCAAATTCGACCCTCAAACTCATCACAACCGCCCAAGATGAGCTTCGTCCACCTTAACCCTCGCCCCATGCTCGAGAAGCTTGTCGGAAACCCAGTTCTTGTCCGCCTAAAATGGGGTGAGGTCGAGTACAAGGGAACACTGGTTTCCATCGACAGCTACATGAACATTCAGCTTTCCGGCACCGAAGAGTACATCGAGGACAAGCCTACTGGATCACTGGGTCAAGTATTGATCAGGTATGACTTTTTGCTCATCCTCCCTTGTCAGAAACGCGATGCTAACCACGAATTACAGGTGCAATAACGTGTTGTGGGTGCGCGGCGCAGATGCAGGAAGCGACGCTGATGCCGCCATGACTGGTTAATCTACGCCAGCGGTGAAGGAATTGTGAGAAGGAGAGGAATGAGATACAATATTCTTGAAGTTAGGAAAGCTTTGTCTGATACGACTCTTATTCCCGGGGATCGACGCGACACCGCCTTTTCAACCATCATCAAGCCTACGTCCCAGGCTGAAATCATGTATTCACAGACGGCTCGCCGCGAGGCAGCACTTGTCGACTTGTTTTCAAAACTTAGATCTAAACTTCAGGCGGACGGCCCATGACGGCCCACAGTTTGGCAATGTTTGCTATAATTATAATCTAATTACAAACTGTGGAGATTACCTTGGTGTACCAAGAAACCGGTCTTTGAGTATGTTGGCCAGCGTTTAGCTTGGCCCTCTTCTGGAAGCAATCCGATGCCCTCCTAGTACTTCCAAACAATGCCCACACCAATGCCAGCAAAGATTCAGAACCCTTCTTGTTTAGGACCAAGAGTTATGATAGCACTTTTTTTGCGGTAAGCGCCTCCCGTCGTCGCCGACATGGGTGCGTTGATATGCCGAACTGTCGTACCTCGTAGGGATGAAAGCCAATGAGACCAGTTGCGTGGAGCTCTTCTTCTCAAGACTAGTAAGTCAAACCACCATCGAGCGTCGGGATGTTGACAGTTTTCAGGCAATTTGAGAAAGCTAGAAGAATTGGTTAGCAAGGACACAGAACCAATTGAGCTGAATGATGGACATCTCAACTTACTCGATGAAGCCTGCGACATCGTCTGTTCCTCGTGGAAAATCCTCCTTACTACCCGTCCAGAAATCACCTCCGTCAGGCAGGCGTAAATCAATAGAGCTCTTTAGGAGCCACAGTGCGTCGTTCTTCTCAGGTTCTTGAATAGTTTCAAGCCGCCTGTTTGGAGGCTTCGCCCCCATCTCCCCGGTAGACGAGACACACAACTCCGGAGGATAGTCTGCATCTTCATCAGAAGACTTCAAGAGACTCGATACACTATCTGCAGGCTGAGCCTCACCCCGAACTGCTTTCCAAAGGCTGATAAAGTCGGTACCGTTTTGGTGGCTCTTCATGGCTGACAGGGGCAAAATACATGTTGAATTGTTTATGGGAACTTTGATTGTCAATCCTGTTGCGGTTCTGATATCGATCCCTAAGTCCGTGAAATGTATCGTACGCTTATCGTCTTTCTCAAGCGGAGCAATGAGCGGGCCCAGCTTGATGTCCGTCGTGACCGTCAAGTCATTTTTCAACTTGAATCTGAGTTGAACTTTTCCGCGCTGTGACACCTTGACCTGGTGACCTTCGGCTTCATTCAGATTAAGATACGGGGAGTCAGCTACTTTCCCCCTCGTAATCTTGCCGAGCCATAGCATTTGTTGTACCATGAACTGTTGCGATGCCCTCTGGAGTTTTATCCCTCCAGCTTCATCGTTGCTAGACTCACCAGCATCACCTTTGTCCCCGAAAGTCTCGATGAATCTGTCCCGCTCCGGCTGTATCATTTCATCGCCTCTTGCAGTCTCCAGTGAGGCGGCAATCCAAACACCTTCGTCAAGTTCCTGCAGAAACTCCACCCAAGCAACCTTACCCAATAACCAGCCACATAGTTTGGGTACCGTGTCTTCAAATAGTAGTTCGGCCTGTTGGCGTCTGATTATCGATAACGGTGGGCCTTCGGTCTTTCCACATCGTTCAAGGGCCAGTTTGAAACGATATGGGGGATGCACAGCAAGTGGTTTGGTCTCGAATAAGGATGAGGGCATGGGCGAGTATGGCTGGTTCCCTGCGATTGCAGAATTGCTTTCATCTAGGGCAAACTCTGGCAGTACAGAGGAGGAGTTGGAACCAGTCCAGATCCGCTCGAGCAGAAACTTCGGCAAGTTTTTGATGTAGCTGTTGATGACAGCATTCTGGAATGAATGAACACATTTGAGAAACTCCTCGTTGAAACTTCTCACGTCACCCTTCCATTCAGGGGGGTGTGCAGCGTCTAGAGGATTTGGCCCAACAACCAAACCGCCATGGCACCGATGAACGCTGGCCGCAACGGAGAAGAACGCCATGTATTGAGTGACCTTGTTCCTAAGCCTGCGAGCAAAATCGAACGACTCACCTTTCCGGATAAAGTCGTAAACCTTCCTCCATCTTTCCATCGTCTTGTCCGAGGGCCCCCAGTTCGTTGACGTTAAGTTTGCCCTTGGGTCGTCGTCAAACCGTTCGTTTTCTTCGAACATGTCTCGAGGTCTTTTCTTTGAGCCATCGTCTATTGATTCAAGCATCGGTTGAGATATGCCCTGGTCGGAGAGAGCACTGTACGAGAGATGCTGATCTAGCACAGCTCTTCTGTCTACTGAGATAGTGAATGAAGGGAGTGCATACCCTTCTGTTCCGGCTGACCGAGTTTCTGACGATACACTCTTGCAATTCATTGTCTCAGAGGTATTTATCTTCGTTGTGTAAGCAAATTCTGCTTTTGCAACCTGTAGACTCTCGAAGTATCCTGCTTTTTTCAAAGTTGCCTCTGCTTGGGTGTGGAGTTCGACACACAAAGCCTGGCGTGGTGTAGATGAAATGTCATGGCTCGAAAGTAGACGAATTGCAGTGTCCATGTAGACCCATGTGGCAACCCATGGGTACCAGAAGACCTGGCCTTGACTCGATATGCTTGGATTTCTCGCAAAACTACCAGAATGAAGATGTGGAATTATGATGGCGTCGTAGCTGCTGTTTGGAATTTGTACCAAACGAGGGATGCCCACTTCGTTCAAAAGACTACAAAGATTAGTAATTTGATTTTAAGGAGTCTCATAAACATACGATTTAGGTGGAGTTTGCCGCCGAGATGGTTGGCAGACCCAAGCGTAAACATGCTGTCCAAGACTAGCCACAATCAACGGTTGAATTGTTTCCAGCCAACTATCAAACAGCTCCTAGAGTTGCGTCAGCAATACAGTGACCATAGTTTCAGAAATTCGTACTCTTGATCGTTGCTTGTGCTTGGGAGCCAGTAGTGGCCAGTTGAAGAGTTGATTAAAGCTGAAGAGATTCGCCAGAGACGTGATAGAGGCATCGCACACACCCGTTTCCATTGCAACCATTAAAGTCAGCACACTTCTAACCAAGCTGCTGGTAGCCCGGATGCCACTCAGTATATCGGTGCCATCGTTGATGCTGCTAATAGGTGGCTCTTGTCCGCATAGAGCGAGTACTGAATAGCCATTGAGCCAGGACTTCGCAACAGCCTGAGTGGAGGCCCCAGCAATATATGTCTCGCGGCTCGCCTCCTTCAGCTTGTCTTCCTCACTCCAAACCTCTGTGCGGGTGTAATCCTACCACCTAGCGAAAAGAAGATTGATATGGGAATTGACGTCGGATGGTGGCGTGGTAAAGCAGCCGTTGGCTTTGGTCCAGAGGTTCGTTTTGCATCGCAAGAAGACACGTTCTTCCTCGTAATCGACGCTTATGACTCCATGTTTCCCCCCACGTTGGCGATTAAGGAGGGTGCGAAACCCGAAAAAAGCAATAAGGCAGCGCTCGGTTTGATCAGTGACGGAATTGTGAAACCGCTGGGACAAAATGTTCTGTTGGCCGCTCAACTTGCTGAAATCTGGCACAAAACTTCCGTGGATTGTGAAAACCTTGTGAAGAGTAGCAATCTCAGGATATCGCTTATGCAGTATATAGAGAAACATTCCAAGGAGTGACTGTGGCCGTCCTGCATTCTTCTGCACCCGTTTGAATGGGTTTCTTGGCGCGGATGTTGACCCAACGTAGCGGACAGTTATCCGGGTGGTGGGATCACTGCATTTGAGGAAAAATATCCAGTCTTGTACGCTGTTCTCGTACCCGTGTAGTCGAAGCTCCTCAATTATTTGGTGAAACTGCCTGGCTTCCATCGGCCAAGATCAGAAATACGCAACGGAGCCTGCTTCAAGCCTTGGGGACAATTTTGTGCATTGTTCGATTTTGATGATCTTTGCTAGCTGATCGTCACTTGTTAGCATTGGATGATTGAGCCAGTCGCGCATGGCGGTTCCGACTCCGTCATCTTCTCCACATGAAAGGATTCTATGGGCAATTAGTTCATCAATATCTGTTGCCAAGCGGAGTTGGGTTCGTAGAAGCTGCTGAGGAACACGCCCATCTCCCAGAGAAGACACGGAGTAGCTTCTGCATCGGGCAATTATCTTCATCCGCTGTCGTACTGCGCCTCCAGAAAAGCTGGCGGACCTTCTCTTCGACGAGAAACTGGCCATGATGGTTAATGACGTTGGCGCTGACTTGATGCTGCTACGCCATTTGCAAAGAAATTAAAGCAGGCCCTGGCGACTTGCAATCGCGGTGCAAGTGTGCAGTTACGAGATAAGTAGACAAGGGGAAGAGGTGATTGACTTTGATGAGGTGAAGAGTTAGATGAGGCTTGAATTTATATTTGTATTCTTTATGGAAAAAAAAAAACAAAGGCAAAAAAAAAAGTGGTGGTAAGCTTGGAGGCTACCGATATATACATTCAACGTCAAGAATTTCATAACAAAAGTCAAGGTGGCCGAGTGGTCTAAGGCGCTGCATTCAAGACACGGTCTTACCCAGCTAACTGGGGCATTCTGCAGTATCGAAAGATTCTTGGGTTCGAATCCCAACCTTGACAACATTTATATTTTTGCCTGAAGTGTGGCATTGTATAATATCACTCATATATACTACGTGCTGTAGCATTTCTGTAGAACAGGTCAAGATGGCCGAGTGGTCTAAGGCGCTGCATTCAAGACACGGTCTTACCTAGTTAACTAGGGAGTTCTGCAGTATCGAAAGATTCTTGGGTTCGAATCCCAATCTTGACAAAGAATTACTTTTTAATATTTCTTTTATTTCTTTTACTGTTAAGTGGTATTTATAAATAACATTAGTTCCTTTATAACTACGTTGCTGCACATGGCAAGACGTCAGATTTATAGTTAGGTTGTTTCCTAATACAAACAAGCTGCATTTAGTACTACAAAATTCCCCAAGACCAAAGTCATAGTAGAAAACCTTCGTTACATCTCATAATGACTATCTTTTATAAACTGTATGTAATTATAGTCCTATAATCGAATTGTCATTGTGCGATCACATAGACAATGAAATGTAAAATACCTCGACTTTTCCTCCATGCTCTTGACTGACTTATGTCAATAGCTGGAGGCCACGAAAGCTGTCATGTCTGGCTCCTTGCTGTTGCTCTAGCTGCGGCATTATGACCGAACACACAGAACAAAGTCATTATACTGGTGTCTAAGTAAATGAAAGTATCGGGCGACAAAAACCAAGTCCACTAAAGAGACAACAAGAGAACATATCAAAGAGGTATTCAGCAGCCAAGTTCACAGGAGGCTGCTCGTGGTGTGCAATATGATGCCTGAATTTGAGACTTCAGGCGGTCATCCTCTGAAAACTCCTGTAAACCACCCTCTTTCTCGGGGCATTTATAGGTGGCAAATGGTTCCGCGAGCAATGTTGACTGGCTCCGAGGAATCCCAACAGTGGGTCTCTGAAAGCGGGGGTGAGGACTGGGGCCGCCGTTCCTAAGTGCCGCGAATCTGGGGAAGCGGGTCTTTAGCGGACTTAATGGAGACGCTTCAGGGGGCTCGAGGACCCTCCCTCTCCATGCTAGCGCCAGTGATTAATGGACGGCACGCGACTTGTAAAAGTGCAATGAATCGCTGTAAGTTGTAGGGGGGAGAGAGGGTTTGAAATACACGACGGAAGTACTTGGGAGGAATGTCACTGACAAGTCATCCTGCATGGAGGAGCGCAAGTAGCGGGCGGCCAGACGCACCGTTTCCCTGTCTGGCTCCTGCATCTGCCCTCCGTTCCAAGTAACTGTGCCGCACATCGTTGTTTTTGGAGCATTAGGTACCTGGGGTGCTGTTAAGATTATTGAAATTGGCACGACGGAGATGCGTATCGTTGCGCACTCAACGACTGTAATGCACTGAACATGAGATTCTTATCCCTCTTGATCAATTGTCTCTGAATACTGGGCTGACACTTGCATTTTACGCAACACACGAAACGAAATAGGGTCGCATTCGTTGATTTTACTGCGTAGAAAACATGCCACTTCCTGCTTGCGTCTACCGGCGGGGTATGGAGTTTCAGTCACCCAGTGTCGGCTCCAATTTCTTTGATTTAATCTCATTTGATTTGCCTCCCTGCACACCTCGTAGTCACATTTCCCTGTATTCTACTCCGTACTGCTACGCAACGTGACCACTTTGCTGAACCAAGAAGTGCAATCTTCTTCACAGCGAGGTACTGTTTTTAAATCAAGTTTGAAGTCTGATTGACAGCCGAAACTTCTGGATCAGCTGTGAGAGATTGCTTCGTTGCCATTTCTCTCAATCCGGCATGACACTGCACATCTTACTACCCAAGACAACCAAACCGACAAGCCACCATCTCGCTTGGAGCAGCTGAATCTCGACTTGAAGCGACCCTCCCGCAGCAGAACCTGAATCTCCTGGATCGCCCCCTGCTCTCCCCCGCGTCAAACGACAATGACCTCTGAGGCGTTCGATGGCGTGGCAACCTTCACATGGGAGTTTCCCCCTCGTCGCATGTATCTCTCCGCCTAAGCTGCCCTGCCCTGCGCCTCTCAATAGGTACTTGACTGTTTTCAGAACCGCCTCGACCAACCGTGAGCAGCGAGCTATCAAGTCACGAGGGTCGAGGCTCGAAGTAATGGAGGGCATTGACCTAAGGAGCAGCGAATCATCATCTGTCTCGGCCTGCGGGAGAGTTTGAGGTTGGGGGGAGATTGCAAGCCATCCGCATTCAAGTGTAACCTTGTCGGTCAGCACAGTATTTGTCTTACTATGTACTGCCATTTGCAGCGATCCATACTCACATGGACAAGTATCGCCCCGTCAGTTCTCACACCTTCGCCTTGACCATTTGCTTGTCTCCTCGCCTCGATGTCGCAGTCTCCCTACCGTGCAGGTTGATCATCCAAGCGCTGTTACCCCGCTCGATCTTGAACAAGCATTCAATCAATCATGGCTGCACGTATATAATAGAGTGAGTAGCCATTTCCGACTCAATTCTGTTTTCTGACTCTTTCATCCCAATCAAATCAATCCTCCAAACACTCATCAACTTAAACTTTCTTGAGACTGCCTATCCTCCTGACAACTACAACGCTTTTTGACACCTCTCATACGCAACCATCAGATTCGGTCGAACACGTCGATTGGATCAATAAACAGTGAGTAAAATCCCCCAAAAGTACAACCAAGCTATACCTGACACTCATTGTAAGACTTTTAAACATCCCCCCCACAAATACACAACATGCCTGTCCGCGTTCCCAAGCTTCCCGCTGCCAAGCCCTCAGAGATCTTCTGCATGGGTGCGGCCGGTGTTGGCGTCTTGACACCTCTCTACCTCGTCATGCCTGGCGCCGAGGAGCGTCTCTCCAACCAGACCAACAAGTGGGCTCCACGATGGGAGAGGAACGTCAGCTACTTCATTCCTCCCATGGAGAAGGGCGTCCAGCGCATCGAGCCTCCCGTGTCCAGAATGGTTCAACGTGTCGAGGACCGTCTTCCTCTTGAGAAGATGGCCAAGTCAGTCGACAAGGGCATTCGAAGTGGTATCGCTCGATTCAATGGCGAGAATAAGCCCTAAGAACATATTTTATCTGTTTACGGCCTTGACCTGAGACTTTGCCAGGCGGGTGTCTTTCCTTTGTACATTATCATTAGCATACCCCGGGTAGATGACACATCGTTCACGAAAGCCCATACATGAATTGAATGATCTTATCTTCACATGCACTCTTCTTTACTTCGTGGTGACTTGTGCCTCGGTGATACCTCTCGTTGTTCATTGTCTGTGAGGGTCATTTAGGTCTTGATCACACCATCGTGTTTCCCTGTCTTGTCATTCTGTTACTTCAGCCTGTTCATCCCATCGATTTTGATCTCAACCTGTCGATTGCCCCAAAGAGTATTTCGTCTTTTACGATGTCGGGATTTAATCCTGCACCTCGTTGAGCGCCCTGATCTTTTTCATGGTTAATTAATCTCTCTGTCGTCATCCGCCCGGTCTACGTTATGTGTACGTAGACCCAGCTGACACTCTACAGATTCTGCGATACGATGTCCATCGACTACTCATGCCGTTTCTACTTCACATATCGCAATACTTAAATATAAAGACGAGGCCCGCGAGCGACCACAACCCGTATCCATTGCGGTGACGCGACACTATAGTGCCTGGCCATATCGTGTCAATTGTGCTAATGATGATAAGAATTCGGTTTACGATGTCGATATCCCTCAAACCCTTGCGCCATACCCATTACCTATCATTATCCAAACCCTATATCTACCGTTGAAAGCATGTCTGTCTTGAGAGATACCACCCGGCCTATATGTGATGTTATGAGGCTCAATGCATGTCGTGATGAGTGGAACCTCGGTGTGACGCATCCTGGCCCGATAGCTTCAATCTAACGACCGACCCCAGTTGAGTCTTTGTGGATACACTAGTACACGAACAGTGTTCATAGAAGTGCAATGGGCCGACACCTTTTCCGAGATATCGTGGCCGTAGCGCTAAAAGACCAAGTCAAGTGGTGAGATAAGGCTCTTCTGCGATCTCTTTTCTTTACAGTCGCGCCGCCTTAAGCGAGTCAGGATACTTGGAATCAACACCACGCCTCCTCCATCAGAATGACCATCTTACTTCGTGGATCCGCCTTCATCACAGGCGCAGCCTCCGGTACGTTCCCGCTATTTGCCCATTACCATCGCCCCGCATTTCACTATACGCCATCGCGTGCCATGGCCGAGACGGACTTGGAGCTACTCATTTAGTGGGTTGTTAGAGTCTCCATTGCTGATATGATCCTCATTAGGTATTGGACAGCAGACTGCCACTGCCTTCGCACAGCATGGAGTCACAAAGCTAGCATTGGCCGACATCAACCAAGAAGCACTATCTATATCCGTCGGATCGTTGAAGAAACAGTTCCCCAATGTCCAAGTTCTAGCGGTGCATCTCGATGTTCGTGACTCTACGCAGGTCAAGGAAGGCATTGTCAAGATAATCGGCGAGTTTGGTCGTCTGGACATTGCTGTGAACAATGCCGGTATCAGTGGCAGTGGTCGAAAGACACATGAGTTGGAAGACGACGAGTGGCTTAGAATTCTCGATGTGAATTTGCAGGGTGTATATCGATGTCAGAAAGAAGAACTTGATGTCATGGTAAATCAAGAGTACGTCTACCAAAATATCTTGAATCCAAATGGTGGAAGAGCTAAACCCTCTCAGAGATTTGGGACCTCGGATTGGCCGTGGAAGGATCATCAATGTGGGAAGTATGTTTGCTGTTGTTGCACCAAACAACCAAGACCATACTGCCTATACAACTGCCAAACATGGTATGCTGTGCAATACCTCTGCGGACCGCAGTTCGTCCAAGCACTGACAGACTGCTAGGGATCATTGGCTTGACCAAGGCTGACGCAAACTCTTACGGGCCTTTGGGCATCCGTATTAATGCCATATGTCCAGGCTACGTCGAGACGCCTCTACTCACGAATATCATGAGCCGCGATCCGGACTCACCACTCGCAGTGGACTTGGCAAGAACCCCTTTAAAGCGGCTCGCCACTATGGAGGAGGTGGCCGATGCTATAGTCCTGTTGGCTTCTCCCATGAATAGCTATATGCAAGGCGCCAGTATGATCTGTGACGGAGGGTTTACCAGTAACTAGACACTCGTATCGCCGGACCAAGATCTATAACATATCTCCCCGATCTAGGATGGCATCACCTGAATCATGCATGCATCTAAAATGCAGGACCTGAACTACTATCGTTCAAGTCATGATTAGCCATTTTTACCCTACCGGTGGTGTGTCGTTTAGCCCCTTTGGTTTTGAAGCACCATGCCTTCCCTTTCATCCATAAGACTCTCTTGAGTGATCTACCTTGCGTCTTTATATCGTGCTTCGACTGAGCTAAACAAACCGATACAAGTGAGGGTATTGCGAAATTGCTTTGTTGGTTTGGCAAAAGCCCATACCACAGCGGTTTGATTTAGGCATATGCAGATAGTATCCTCAAGACACCTAGTTTTAATATACAATTTCGTATAGATACAGACTTATTCATATCCCGCAGACATAAATAGCAAAATCAACTCTGCAAATCCAAAGTAAAACAACAGAACATACCAAGCGTGAACGTCCTTGAACACCTTGCAGAAGAGACAGTAACCCGACAATAGCACCTAACCAAAATTAAAAAAGTCAAGAGAGTAGTTTCTCTGTTCGTCGTTGCTCCCGTCATTCAGACGTGTTGTTTTGCCCACATTCGGGCCATATTCGTCCATCCTTCCTGAACCAACGGTCCCAACGTTGGTACTCGTCCAGTTTGTTCCGATATGAGGGAGCTTGCTGGATGAAGGCTGATGCATACCACCCTCGCTGCTCCCAAACTTTGGGGGTTCCTTGGCTGAGCTGAAAGCAGCCATTCCTGACATGATACCAGTTGACATCGCGGCACTCTGATTCAACACTGAACTGGCACTGAGACCAGCAGTTCCGGCAGACCAGTCTATGGCACCATGAAATTGACCTTGTGGAAAAGAAGGCTGCATGTTAGGCAGGCCCCAACTGTCAGGTAACGGGTGACCGAGGTTCGCGGCATTGAGTGTACCGACCATGTGGCCTGGAGCAAGGTCGGGATGATGCATATTGACCGCGTTCGCCCCCACCAACGTGAGGCCAAGTTGTTCCGGCTGGCTGTGCATATTCATAGGAAACATGGTTGGATCAAGCGGCGGTTGGCTTTGTTGACCGTACGGCAGGGATAGAGGTGGTGCCGGTTGCGATGTCATACCGAGATATGACGGCTTCGATGAGGCATAGTCTGAGGTCTGTCGGTGAACAGAAGGCCGTCTCTTCTTAGGAGGCTGATTGAAGTCGGTATCGGCTTCACGCCTGACAGGGACAATAGGAACCGATGTATTGCTGTCATAAGAGACGCCGCTTCTCGCACTACTGGCGCCAATACTAATGGTCTGCTGGCCTGCGCTGCCGCTGCGCGACCGTGAAACGTCAGTCATACTGCTCCGGATCTGCTCAAGTACAGCCTTGAGCAAGTCATCCATCCTGCTAGCCGGATGATATGTAGCGCTCATATCGCCAACAGCATCAGATAGAATCTCAAGATAGCCGATATACGTCTGGCGATTTGGCTCATCGCGCTGGTAGGCGAGTGCAGCAATCAACGCGATTGATGCAGTACCCGCATGCTGGATTCCCGTGATGAAAATCTTTCGTCCGTCGAATCTTTGACGATGCTGCCAGAAAATCCGGGCCACGCGTATCGCTTGCTGGGTACATATGCTGCGGGCCAACGATGTGCGGCTCCCATGGACGACGCGTTGACGGTCATCGGTAGGCATCGGCGAACCCTCAGCAGTGAAATGATGCCTGGGGCTCTCGGATTCTGCTTTTCTGTCGCTTTCAGGACTTGGATGCGATCCAGTACTCGAACTGTCGCCCGAGATTGAGCCATATTTGGCCCATGGTCGATGTAGTAAAATCATAGTTACGTGATATTGTTGATGTAATAAGAAGAAACTGTAAGGAGCTGTCTTGACATTGCTCGGCTTCCATGCCATGCGGTCGGGCAATCGCCTATACCAATTTTGAAGTTGCCTGTCGAGATTGATGACCTGCAGATATCTGTTTTCTTCGGCTTCATTAGTCGCAAATGCGCCGGTCTGTTCCGCCGCCTTGTTGGAGTTGCTCAGATCACGTATTTCGACGATTCGTCCGGCCAATTCCATCAACTCAATGAGCTGCTCATAAATTTCGGTTGTCAACTCTACCTTGGGAGCATCGAAGCCGAAAGAAGCGAGCTGGGAAAACCGGTTTGATAAGAGATCAACGTCTTGGCTTTTGATAGCCAATGGCCTGCCCAGAAATAGTCCCCAATATCTGTCATAGATCACACATGCCTGCATGACCATGTTTCGAATTTTTGTGTCTTGTTCAGACATGTTGCTGGTGCAATCTAAATGGAGGCCAATATCGAAAGCAAGGCGATTTGCCATTCCTAGACACAGTTAGCGGGAAGAAAATTCAAAAAACATGGACAATAATCAAGACTCACCAGAGTACATCCAGCCGGTGTTATCTCTACCGACACCGCATTCAAGATCTCCAAGCAACAGTAAGGCCTGAACACTAGGAATCCCACCAGGACGCTCGAGCTCGATATCAAGCATGTGCTTGGCCTCTCTATGGAGAGAACTTTCTCGTGGACTCAGCGTTATCTTACGCATATCATCTCGGTCCATATCGGCCACACGATACCCCATGGCCAACACTGCGATGTGAAGAAAATGAGAGTAAAACTTTGAAGACTTTGATATTCGGTCAGCCTCGAAAGAATCTCGATCGATGATTTGAATAACAGAATTATAGTAGTGGAAGAATCCATCAACAAGATAGTCGTGTGTCTCCGAGCTCAGCGATTGGATGATCTTCTCTGCTCTGCGGATTTGTTCAGGCGGCTCACGCGTATATGATAGGCTTGTTGATTCGGCATAAACATGGCTGTTGGCTGTGGGCCCAAAGAAACGCAGTCGTCCGGAGATTTGGTCAAATGAGAGGTTGCCTTTGGTCGACAGAAGTCGATGGATGATGTCCTCTTGCTTAGGATCCAGAATGCGAAATGGTGAATCATCATTGCAACGTGAGTACCCTGGCTGTTTTTCACGCGAATTTGTCGACGTAAGTTCGCTCTCACGTGTCGCGAGATCGTCGTCTGGATAGTCCGGCGGAGAGTGGTCTTCGCTCGCTGGGGACTTGGAATCAGGTTGCGGGGATGGGTCAGTATTCCCCGTCGCAGTGGCTATGGTATCTTGCACATCGTGCCTTGTTTTTGGAGGATGAGTCGCTGGAGGCGGCACCACACCCTTTTCCAAGAGCAAGCCTTCAAGCATCGAGATTCTGTCCGATAATGAGGACATAAATGCCTTGGATATAGGACTTCAAAATTTCATTAGCCTTGGCTCATGATGGGGCTGAAACACATGAGCTCATACCGTCTTCGCTCATCGTCATTTTTGATGATGCACTCTGCACCTGACTTTGCGCAGGCGGTGCATTCGGTCTGATTCTTAGGTACAACGCAGCGTATCCTTCTGTCGCGGCATGACGCACAGGCGACAGATGCGCGATGTCGTACTTGTTGCTTGCTTGTGTTACGCACGGAGTTGCTTTTGGGGGAGATATTCTGGCTGCTCGCATCGAGATTAGGGGCATCTTTTGCACTGGCAGAAAGAGCCATGGTGACCTGCGCGCAGCTGAATACAGCTAGTCCCAGAGCGGACTCACTGTTTGTGAGCCTGACGGATCTCGGTTACCGAAATTGGATTGGAAAACGTCTGGGCAAGTGTTGATAAGGAGAAGATTTTGGTTAGGAAGCGGAGTTGCAAAATGGGAGCTGGAACCCGGGCCTTAGCCTGGTGCTGGAGCTTGGACCTTTCCCCACGCTGCGATGTGGAGCTAAGGATGGTCCTTAACGGTACAGTGGGCGTGCGAAAGTTCCGACACATGACCAAAATTAGCCCTTTTTCTTTATTTCTTAATATATAGTTATTAAAATTTAGTATAATATTAAGAGTTTCATTATTTAAGAACTAATTAATTTAACTATTACTTAAACTCTAAAAATATATAATATATATTTTTAAAGTATTTTATTTTTAAGTTTTAAAAAAAGTAAATATAAAAATTAATTACTAGTTTTTTAAAGCCTAGTTATTAGCTTATTAAGCTTATAAATAAAATATTATATTTATATTAAATTAAAACTATTATTAGGCTATTTAAAAATATAATAATAATATAAATTTATATTTTAATTAATTTAATATAAGACTTTTAAAAAGCTAAATAAAAAGAAATTTCTTAAAGAATTATTAAAATTAAGCTTATTATTATATCTTTTTTTTTTTCCCTTACCTTTAGCCTTATATAAGGCTATTAAGCTTTTTAGCCTGTTTATTAATAATTTAAATAATAAAACCCTTATAATATATTATTTCTTAATTTAAATTATTACTTTTTTATTAATTTTACTTTATTTATCTTTATATATAAAGCTAATTAATTATATACCTTATTATATATATTTAATTAATTAAAGTTAATTTAACTTTTATTAAATAACTTATATAAAGTAAACTTAATATAATTCCTTTAATATATTTTAACTTTAATAGAATTTTTATAACACCCTGCCTTTATATTATATTTATCTTAAACCTTTATATATAAACTCTCTATCCTTATACTCTTATAATTTAAGATTATAGCTAGGCTATTATTAATTTAAAAGTAACTTTTTTATAATATTAATTACTTTTATAAATATATTAAAAAGCTATTTTTTATATATAAATAAGTTACTTATAAAAGTGATAAAAAAAGCTATTTTATTTAATTAAAAATAATAACCTTTTTTTAAGGCTATTTTTAAATTTATAAAACTTTATAATTTATTATTAAATTAAATTAAAATTATAACTAGTTATATAATAAATATAATTATATAATTATAAGCTATTTTATAAAAGTATTAAAATAATATAATTATTATATTATTAATAAAAAGAATTAAAAAAAAGAAAATTATATTAAATAATATACTTTAATATAATAAATAAATTTAATATATTATATTATAAAGGTTAATTAAGAAGTAATTCTTTAAATAAGTTAAAAAAAGAAAGTTAATTTAATTATTAAGATATAATTAATATTAATATTACTTAATTAAGGTAATAATTATATTATTAAGGCAGATAAATCTTATTTAATTTTAACTTTTATAATATAATATATTTAATTTATTTATTATAAAGTATATTATTTAACTTAATTTATTTTAACGTTTCTTATTAATAATAAAATAGCTATATTACCTTAATATTATAAAATAGCTTATAGTAATATATTTATATTTATTATTTCTTTTTTTCTTTTTTTCTTCTCCCTTACCTTTAGCCTTATATAAGGCTATTAAGGTTTTTATCTTTTCTATTAATAGTTTAAATAATAAGATTCCTATAATATACTATTATTATAAAATTTAAAAATAAATTAAGTTTATTTACCTTAATAATATAATTACTACCTTAACTAAGTAATACTAATATTAATTATATCTTAATAGCTAAAGTAACCTTCTTCCTTTAACCTATCTAAATAAATACTATATTTAATTTATTTATTATATTTAAATATATTATCTAACTTAACTTTCCCTTTTAACCCTTCTTATTAATAATATAATAGCTATATTGCCTTAATATTTATATATAATAACTTATAGCTATATAATTATATTTATTATATAACTAATTATAATTTTAATCTAGCTATTAGGCCTATTATAAAGGTAATTAATAAAAAAGAACTTTATATAATATATATAATAGTTATTATTATTATAAAGAACTTCTTATTAATAAGTAATTTTAATTTCATTAAGATAATTATTATTAATTATAATAAAATTTAATTAATTAAAAATATTAAAGAAGAAATATTATATTAATATATTAAATTTTAATATAATTAATAATAAGTTATTAAGTTTTAAAATTTAAGAAATTACCTTAAAAGAAGATTATTTTTTTAAATTAAATAAACTGGTTTTTCTTATTACCTTTATAAGCCTAAATATAGTTATATATAAAAAGTAGCTTTTTAATATATTTATAAAAGTAGCTAATAGTAAATAGCTGCTTTTAACTTAATAATAGCCTAGTTATAGTCTTAGATTATAAGAGTATACCTAAAGGTTTTAGGATAAATGCAGGGTAAAAGCAGGGTTTTATAAAGTAAGTATATAAAGGTTTATATAAGTTATTTAGTAAAAGTTATATCTATTTTAATTAATTAATTATATATAATAAGGCATATAATTAATTAGCCTTTTATATATAAATAAATAAAGTAAAATTAATAAAAAGCAGTAATTTAAATTAAGGAGATCTCTTCTTAGATATTAAATCTAAAGAGGAAGATATTTATTTATATAAGTTAGTTAATAAAAGTTAAATTTACTTAAAGTTATAATATAATTAATTAAATAATATATACAATAAGTATATAATATAAATAAGTATATAATATAAAAATCTTAAGCTTTTTAAAATAAATTAAAGTAAAAATATAATAAATTATTTAATTAAATAAAATTAACTACTATATTTATCTCTAAAGGTCTTAATACCTTCTTAATAAGTTTTTATATTATACTTAATCTTATTATGTATTTTATAATAGTAAACCCTTAATTATATTAAACTTCCTTAATTACTATTTCTTAATAATTTAGCTAATACTAATATATTTATATATATTAATTAAGTAAATCTTAATTAACTTATATAATTATATTCCTTTTATTTTATAAATATATCTTTTTACCTTATATTATTAGCTAAGTATATTATTTACTTATTAAAGCTTTTAATTCTTAACCCTTAATAAGGCAGTTTTATATATATTTCTCTTTATTATTTTATTAAAGATTAAAAAGGTTTAAGAATTAACTTTCAAAAGCTATTATAATTTCTTCTAATTTATTTTTAAAGATATATAAAGTATAATTTAACCTTAAGGATTATTTATAAGATTCTTAAAAGTATAAGATTTAATTTATTCAATTACCTTTTTAATAAGTATTAGAATTTATACTTATATATTAAGCTTTAATATTATAATTTTTAAATTAAAGAAAATAAAATTAACTTTTTAAAAACCTCTTTTAATATTTAACCTAATTATAAATAATTAAAAAATAATATAAAAGGCTTAAAAAAACTTAATTTTAAAAATATAAATTATAAACCTTTTAATTAATTACTTTATTTCTTAATTATATACCTTTTTTAATAGCTTAAAATACTTAATATTAAGAGGCTAAAAAAATATATATATAAAATATAATAATCCCTATATTAAACTACTATTTTCTTATTAATTTTATTATATTTATTTTTATATATAAGGTTAATTAATTATATACCTTATTACAATTATATGCCAAAAGTCTAACAACACTAACATATCTACCTTACTTTAGTTAGTATTATTAGATAACCTTAATTACTTTAATAATAAGACTTATATACTTAATAACTTCTAAATAATAATATAATTTTAGTACTAAAATAAGCAGAAATTGCTAAAAAAACTATAAATTTACTCTTAAGTAAAGAGTAGCTATAGTTATAAAGGTATATATTAGTAAATTAATAAGATAAGTTATAGCCTCTTATTTAATAGATTTTAAGATTATTTCCTAGATAGTTAAATACTAGAAAGAGAATTATAATAATATCTTAAAATTATATTTTAAGTATTTTTAAAAACTTAGTATTTAAGAGATTATATTTATTTATTTATTTATTAAAAGAAATTACTTAATTATATAAAATAAGGCATTATTAGAGCTTATTATTAAAGTATTAACTTAAATAATATATTATTAATTATAAAGATATTAGTAATATAAATAAAGGTTAAAAAAGAGGATTAAATTAATAAAAAATACTATAAAAGTAAGGCTATAATATACTTATTTTAAATTTATTATATTAATAAATATATCTTTATAATTAGCCTTAAAATAATACCTTTTTTAATACTAACTTTCTTATAAATCTACTTTATTAATAAGGTTATAGTTTTAAATACCTTAAATAACCTTAATAGCTAGGTCTTTTACTAACTTAAAAAGAAGTATTATATAAACTTAGTTAATATCTAGTAATATATTAAACTAACTATTTCCCTTATATTTTAAGGAAGAATTACTTAGGATAAATAATTATATCTTATACTAATAATAAGGGATAAGATAGGGAAAAAAGGAGGTTATTTTAGCTAGTTTTATTATAAAGCCCTTATAAAAGGTCTCTTTCCTTTTCTTAATAAATTTAACCTATTTTCATAAGATAATGCCTGGATTTATATAGCTTAATTATTAATAGATTAGCTACTTCTTTATAAGATAAAACCTATTAATTAGCTATCTTATTCTCTTAATTTAAACCCTATAAAATATATATAAAAAGCTCTAAAAGCCAAGTTTTAATAAATATATCCTAAATTTATTAGATTTAAAAAATAATAAGTCTAATAAAGCTTAATTAATTAGATAGTTATAAGAGATATAAGTAGCCTTATTAAGCTATTTAATTTTAAAGCTAATAACTTCTATAAAAAACCGCCTTTATATTATTATTTATATATATAGATAATATATAAAATATTAACGTACTAATTTAAGGGAATTAATTAATATACTTTTTATTAAATTTAATTAACTATTTATAATAATATTACTAAGTATTTAATTAGTATTATAATTAAGGAGGTTAGATATAGGGTTGGTGTTATTAGACTTTTATTATATTATTATATATATAATTAATTAATTAAGCTAGTT